AGCTATTCATTCACATGTTGAGACAACATTTCATATATTGATTTATTCATTATTACTACAAGGATTGTATTGATTATAAGGTCATGTGCATTGTCAAAACAAAACACTTAAATACCAATAGTCTGTGAACACAGGGGAGTTTTGAATAGGACCGGCCATCCATTACTTAAACCCAGGCACTCAGCTATTCATTCACATGTTGAGACAATATTTCATATATTGATTTCTTCATTATTACTACAAGGATTGTATTGATTATAAGGTCATGTGCATTGTCAAAACAAAACACTTAAATACCAATAGTCTGTGAACACCGAGGAGTTTCGAATAAGACTGGCCATCCATTACTTAAACCCAGGCACATTAAAGAAAGCTTACTCATAGCAAAGGACTGCCTACCTCTTAATGACTTACAAATGTCGTTTGACCTAATACTATTATAAATAGCTACACTTAGCCATTTGTTAAGAATAGTTATAATTATAAAATGATGTCTCACGCAACATGTAATTTTGCTAATGTATTCTATAATTTTTACTTCCTTCCATTTATCACTATATTAAATATTACAAGTAAATTAGTTATTGAAGTTACTACAGCATTAGCTAATAAATATATTTATAATATTACCTCCAGATTTTAATTAAGATGGAATAAGTGTATTCAGAAATATTGGAATTACTTGTAAATAAAAATGTTTTGTTTTATTAACTATATTTATCTTTATCATTAGACTTCATATTTCCCCATCATGAATCCATTTGGAACAGAACTTTAAAAAGTAGTTAGCTAAAGCTACTCCTAAAAAACATTAGGTAGTTATATTTTAAGATACTTTGAAAAAGCAACTTATTACTTTTGAAGCTACTTTGACAGAATAGAAGCTGCACAGTTTCTCCAGTTTTTCTCTTCTGCTTCCTGTATGCTTTTCAGGTCTTTGTTGATGTCATCAGTCATATTATGGTAGTTTTATTTCATTTTTCTCTCAATTTGAAATGCCCAATATATTGCTTACTTGTTACATGCTACAAACATAACACAGTGTTACATTATTTAAGGCATAAGTGGAGGATTTTTGAACTTATATAGTTAGTGAAAAAATATATACTAAGAAAAGTCATTTAATTAGCTCTACTCAGAACTATTTCAAACAGTCTGAAGTACATCAGCTTGTTTTGTTGTTTACTGAGTAACATTTTAATGTTTTCTGGAACACTTTTTAAGGCATTATTTCAGTGTTCCACCTGCAGTACTGTTTGTTTGTGCACAAATTCAGTTTATGTATGGGAAGAATAATATTGATGTAACTAATGTCATGTTTTACATATTGCTATAGCTATAGCTATGCTTTGTTAATTTTTATTTTCAGTAAATTATTTTTTAGGATAATGATCAAATAATATTTAAAAGGAAAATTGTTTTCTAGTCAATAATAAATAGGCTCTATAAGAGTAATTATTATAAAGATATTTTGGTATCCTTATTATTGGGGGCTCACATGACCTGGTAATCAGAGTGCTCAACTTACAATCTGAGGGTAACGGGTTCGAATCCCATCAACAAACATGCTCACCCTTTGACCTGTGGGGATCAATTACTATTTGTTGGTAAAGAGTAGCCCCAGAGTTGGTGGTGGGTGGTATTGACAAGCTGTCTGCCTTCAAGTTTACCTCTTCAAAATTAAGGACAGCTAGTACAGATAACCCTCGAATAGCTTTGCATGAAATTCAACAAACCTGAGTATTAGTTTAGAACACTAAACTCTTATATGTGTATATTATATTATTATGCATAATATCTTCCACGTATCTTATATGTGTATATTATATTATTATGCTTAATATCTTCCATGGGATACATGTTATGCATCAGTATATCTGTACAATTTTTTATGTAATAATAAACTGAAGTAAATTGATAAACTATTTAAAAATAAAGCAAAAATAATAGCGATCTCATATTGTATTATATAATAACTTCTAAAACTCTAAGTAGTATTTTAATACATAAATATTATTTTTTGTCAACCGTAATTCTAGAAGTTTTTTCTTGTAAATTGGAATTGATCTTTTTTTTTTAAAAAGCTTTGTTGCACACATGACTTAGGGAAAGATTGCTTTAATAAAAACAAAGTTACAGTAAGTTAATATTCATTATATTTTATTTGCTCAAAGAAATTGTTGATTGCTGAATAGCTTGCTCATTTAATTGTGTTTGTCAGAATTTACTAGATATGAAATAATAACAGTCTAACAATAAGTAACAGGACTTCTGTTTAATTGTGTCTCGCTACATAGGAAGCATCAAAATGGGGGGGAAAAGTTAGGCTGTTGTCACGTGCTGCTAAAACATGGCATAATACAGTAAGTTGTTTGATTTATTGATTTTGCAGTACTTGTGTTTCTACAGTTTCTTTCAACCTGTATTGTAAAGTATAAACATATTAATCATCTTAATATGTTTTTTCTAAACCCATGTCTATACCAACTTCGTGCTTAAAAACTTATGACATTTTTTATACTTAAAAAGTTAATTATTTTTAGTTTTTCAAACTGATAATGGAATAAGAAAATTTTTTTGAAATGATGGTAATTAAAGATTTTTTTTTGCAGTGTTTTTATTATTTCTTATAAAGCTTCCACCGCATTAATCATTTCAATCTCTTCAAAGAGGTCATCTCATATCATCACAAGTTTTCTTGCCAAATAGTAACCATTCTACTCTTTCTTTCAATTTACCTGAATCATAACTTGAACTCTTAAATCTGCCATACTGGTCAAGGTGTTTAAAGGACAAATAGCATCTCGAATACCTTAGAATTTCAAAAATATGATACCGATGACCAAACAGACAATGATAAAGTACCATTTTATTATCAAATATTGAAAAAAGGTTATTCCTAAGTCTACTGCATCAGGTTAGTCATTAAAAGGAACTCAAAATATGATTTTATGTTGGTTGCAAAAAGTCACTGAAAGTAAAAACATGAACATTTTTTCAAATTCTCTTTAAAGCTTCCACACAAAGTTAAGAATGCCCGCTATTTATTCAGATAAACTTTGTGAGTTGTACAAAAGGTGTTTGTATCTATTACATGACAATTGAAATTTTAAGATTTAACTGATCTTAATGAATTAATCCAACATTTGCACTCCTGAGTGTTGGTCAGATGCACTTGTCCAATTCTAACATGCTGAACATGATATATAGTTATGTTTGATCAAGAGTCATGTTTATCTAAAAGATAATGTACACAAAAATCAGTGAATGGGTTTTGAAGTTAGTGTTTACCAAGTTCACTATTAACATGAAACGGTGATCACTGTATATTTTGTTCTTGGTTGTGTGACAATTATTATTTATTATGAGTAACAATATTTTTAGCAGTAATTTTATGTATTTGGGTAGATCTTGGGATTGTCTTGACCTAATAAGATACTTAAACCATGCAACTGTTTTTAACTTGAATTGTTATTAGACAGGGTAGGCTGATATTTCACATGGTGTATCTGCTAGCAGATCATTTGCTGGCTCATAGAACATGAAACTTCGAACAAAATGTCCCTTGTTCCATATTCCACTTGTGTTTGAGCTAATTAAATAACATTGGTAGGACCTTCTATTTGTCTTTCTTTTATTTATTTCCATAATGTGTTGTGTTATGTTTTTCCATACCAAGATTCTGTAAACTTTTCCGTGCCAATGTACACGGGTAGTAATATCTTTGAAATTTACATTTTTAAGATCCAAATGCAATTCTTATAGTTACCACTGGGGAAACATTCTTCTATTTTCACATCATATCTGGGTACGTTTAGATGTTGAACATCTATTGGTAGTGGGAGTTTCCTTGCTTTTAGTTTAGGGACAAAACTAGAAATATATTGAGATATATCACATTAATGTGTAACGAAGTGATGAGGAGAGGAGCTTTGATTGACAGTGTCCAATTTATTAACTCTTTGTACAATCTGTGGTAACTATTCTAATTTAATTTATTTTAATCTTAACTTATAGTTCTGAAGTTAATAACTGTTATTATATTATTTTCATACATGTTAATTTACTATATTTATTGTTAACTTTTTTTCAGGAAAAAGTGCCTACTTTTGATGAACAAATATTTAATGAAATAAAGATATGATTATCTGGATAACAGGTCATCGTAAGGAACCTTGTTTGTTTTTTGTAAATAACAGTAGGAGGCATGGTCTGCATTTGATTTTTTAGAAAACATTTGCAAATGAAATGTATGGAAAATGTTTTCAGTTTTCAAGCTACCAGTGTGTTTAATGACAACAACTAGGAGTTATCATGTCTCATCCTTTCTCAATAAAATTCAACCACAAAACTTGAAAAACAAAAGTAAAAGTTCCCAGGAATGGTTGTCAAGACAACTAAATGACCCATATATAAAGAAAGCTCGATATCACAACTATAGAGCTAGAAGTGCTTTCAAACTGCTAGAAATAAACGAAAGATTCCAGCTACTGAAACCAGGCATGATGGTGGTTGAGTGTGGAGCAGCACCAGGAGCATGGACACAGGTTTTGGTTGAAAAACTTAACCAAACTTCTCAAGGTATAGTTATTAGGATTTAAACTGTATTGGTTTTTCTAAAATTCTGAATTTAATGCATAATGAGTTAGGAACACTTTTGTTTTAGTTTTTATATTGATGTACTTTTTAAAAGTGGGTGGGGTGGCTATATGTATATATATCTTTGTGTGTAAGAATGTAAGGGATGAGCTGCAGCCTGTTAGAATTGAAGACAAAAAAACATTGTCAAGAGTTTGAATATATATATATATACATATATGGTCAGACAGAGAAAGAATAACTGTATAATGAGATCAGGGATGCTAATAATAAGAATGCTGATCCAGTAATTATGGGAGACTTGTTTGACCCCAGATAATGGACCCCAGTGTTAAACACAGTTGTTATCCTTTATACAATCCGAAGTATGTTATGACCTTTATTCTAGCTACTTTTTGTGGGTTTCTTCAACAAAGATTTTCTGAAAATCAAGATAAATGACAATCATAAGAGTAACCTCATTTAGGTAGCAGATTTCTTATAAAAATAATTATTATTTCTGTATTTCAGTATGTCTTTTTCAAATAGTTCATGAGAATGTACATCTATAACTTTATAAACAATAAGTGTTAATATAATTCTTTCTGAATATTTTGGATTTTATCCACAAAAATCTGAAAAAGAACTCCACATAATCTCTAGGCCTCTTCTTTATAACTTTAGTAGAAACATTATTAGTAATATTCCAACTATGTTTTATCATGCAGCATTGAGAGAATTTTGAAAAGGTGTAGTGTAAACCTGTAAACTAGTTCCCAAGTATTTCTCTGAAGTCATTAAAAAAGTAAGGGTCAAGAGCTTTATTTTCTTTAAACTTTACAAGCTTCATTTTTTAATCAAACAGTTCTCTTACCCAAATAATTAATTTTTTGTAAGACCTGATTGCTTTACCCACATGCCCTTCAGTGGCTCAGTGGTAAGTCTGCAGGCTTATGATGTTAAAAGTAGGGTTTTGATAACCCATTGTGTAAGTTTGCACTTAACAACAATGAAACCAAATATCTATCCACAAACATATTCCTGAAGAAAGATTTTATTTACCACTTGTAAAATTGTTCAATTAAAAAACCATTCAACATATTAATGACAAACCTGATATAGTAACTAATATTATTGTTTAGAAGCATTGCAGGTATATTCTAAGTGTTTTTTCTGTTCCCCACCCATAAAATACTGTTTTTCTTATCATATTAAAAAAAAAAGATGATAATAAATATGGGCTAAGTGTTTCTTAGTCCCTTTTTGCCTTAAGTAATGAATACTTAATTTTATTTTATTTGTTTTTTGAACCTCTAAATCTGACATGCTTCCAATAAGCTCATTTTTTATGTAAGCAGACAGTTCCCATTTCTTTTTCTTATAATTTATGTATTAATTTCATAAGAGGGTTGTACCACACGAGTTTTAAAATAATACTATTTTATTAAGGTAATTAATAGCACAAGTAAAAGTTTTCTAAATGGTGATGAAGTTTCTCATTTACGTGTGGTATCTTTTTTTTTTAACTTAAAAATTGAAATACGTTTGTTCAAATGACTTCCTTTAAGTCATTTTTTTTATATATATACATAAGTATTAAAAATTATGAAACTGTGGCCACTAGTTTCTACATGTAAATGTTAACAACTGTAATTCTAACTATTTTCTGTGTATAATTGAAGATAAGCTTATTCACTAGTAGGTTTTTCATATGTTTAATAAAGTTTCATCACCTCCGTTAAACATTTTATCCTCTTTCGAATAAAACAGCCTATCCTAGTAAATTTTATAATTTAAGATATATTATTTTCCTAGCAAGAAATAGCTGCCTGAAAATATTTCTTTCATCTTCATTAATTTTTATTTCTGTTAAATATAACCAATTCACTCTCTAGAGGAATTTGCATCTTCAAGATATCTTAATTTTATTGTTGTGCCTTCAGTTAACTCTGTAAACAAGATTAAATACTACTCTGTATTTTAAACTATCTTTCATGATTATTTTGATAAAAAATCTAGTAACACATATCAAAGCTTATAACTTCAAAAGTTTATTTTGGAACTTCTAGTTGGATAAATAGATCTTTAATTTTATTCCTCCCTACACTATTATATCTTACACTTGGTCACTTCTATAAGGTCCTTTAATATAAAAACATGTTTAGTTATGAAATTGCTTAATGAGAATGTTTATGGCCACATCTAAAATCCTATAATCCTTTTTGTTCCAGTGCAGCCCACCTTGTGCAAATAATTCTTATTTATTCTTGTACTAAAGCTTAAGCCAGTTATCTTACTTCTTAGTACATATTCCAGACATGTTTTTTATATAGCCTTTACTACTGCTTCCACTTATAATCCAACAAACGTCTGTTGTTTTTTTATTCCTCAAATCAAACATCTTGGCCACTAGATCCACAGACCTGCTCTTCCAAAAGTCATAAAATTCCAAGTTCTGTCCCCTTATCTGCTAATTTTATTCAACGCATTAAGGAAAAAACATATCAGTTCTTGAATTCAAAACCCTTTCTCTGTACCAAACTAGCAAGTCTGGTACATTATAAATTTCACATTGAGTATTGCATCCACTTACTTTTATCAGACAGAATAGTAGATCTATTTTATACAACTACATGTGGAGTGAAAAACTACTATCATCAGGGACTTTCCTTACCATTGTTCTGCCCTGGTTTTCTTCCCTTCAGATTGTCTACTCTTTAATATACCTGATTCTCTTGCCACTTCTGACTTGTGTTTTTTTTTACCACTGCCCCACTTTTGTCACTGTAAACTATGTTTTCAAACCAAGAAGTTCTCAGTTGTTTACCTATACTTAAGTAATCATGTTGAGGCACTACCTTCCAATATTTGCTGTTTCATGCTACAGTTTCTGCCATTTCTCTTGAACTAAAGAAAATTTGACAGAATATTGATTTGTTAGACATAAATTTTTGAGCTTCTGAGATATTTGTGAAACATAAGTTTTCTTCATGAAAATTTCCAAATGGCTGTAAAGTCCTATCAATATAAAATAATTAAAACTAAACAGAGTCAAGCAAACAAAATTAATCCAAAAATAGATAAGAATGATATTGAACATCGTAAAAGGACAAAACTACATGTTCAGCAGATTTTATTGGTGACCCTATAAGCATTGATATATTGATTAACGTTACATAAAATAATCAATTAATCAAAATTATGGTTAAATCAATTAATGTCATGAAAATAACCAACAAATTGAAAATTAGTGTTTCCGATTATTTTTCCAGCCAATCAAGTCTCATGATAATAATCAGTTAATTGAATGTAAATGATTAATGAGCATGATGATTAATCAGTTACCAAATTCCACTCCCAGCTCTATGATGCATTTATTTCCTGTTGTGTTATAGTTGATGCAATATAACTTTCCGTATTATCACGGATGCAAAGACACGTGTAGACATCCATAAACTTTTTTTCTTACAGGTAAACATTTAAAAGGAAGAGTTATAGCTCTGGACATTAAGTCCATGGAGCCTGTTATGGGAGCTGAAACCATCTCTGGTGTAGATTGTACAGAACATTCTACCCAAGATAAAGTTCTGAAAATGTTAGGAAATCAGAAAGTTGATATTGTGCTCAGTGACATGGCACCAAATGCCACAGGAATAAAGGAAATGGACCATGAACAAATCACTTCACTGGCCTACAGTGCTCTAACGTTTTCATTTAATTTACTACAAGTTGAGTCAGGAGTGTTTTTATGTAAGATTTGGGAAGGAAAAAATACTGAAAGATTGGCTTCAGATTTGAAAAAGTTTTTTAAGTTAGTTAAGCATGTTAAACCAGCATCAAGTCGTACAGATTCATCAGAATTATATTTTCTGGCAAAAGGTTTTAGAGGAATAACTGTAGTTTAACTTTTCTTATCTGTATTAAAAGAAAAATATGTTAGTTTTTTTTTCTTTCAAACATTTCAGCATGGTTTTTATTTATAATATGATTTTTTTTTATTTATGGTGATAATAAAAAAATGCAGATTTTAATTTTAATAAAAATTGTAAATTTCCATCTTATTCTGCTGTAAATGTTTGAATATGTTAACATTATAAGTATCGGCTATATTGCCAATCATGTAACGTACTTTAACATGAAGAAATGATTGAACTAGTTGCTGATGTCAGTACTTTAAAATCTTTATAAAGTAACAGTTACAAAATAGTATCAGATTAAAACTGATTAACGGGAGCCAATCCTGAGAAACGAATAATGCAGTTAGTACCTTGTAATGTAAAGTACGAAAGTATTATGTACCAACACTTAACAAAAGAGTGCTAATACTTCCAAGGCACCCTATCTCGGAAACTGTACAAAAACTATTAGAAATAATAAAATAACGATTGGGAGTCACTGGCTAGGATCTCCACCTGCAATTAACTTGATGAAATTGTAAACCTTCTGCCTCATTTCTCGTCACTCTCTCAATAAGGTTCTTTATACGCACTTGCTTAATATCAAATTTTAAACTGGTTCATTGAAACACTTTGATAAATTGCCCACCCCCCACCCCCACCCCCCGTCCACGGGGCCCGGCATGGCCAGGTGGATAATGCGCTCCACTCGCAATCTGAGGGTCGCGGGTTCGAATCCCCGTCTCACAAAACATGCTCGCCATTTCAGCCGTGGAAGCGTTTTAATTCACTATTCGTTGGTAAAGGAGTGGCCCAAGAGTGGTGATGACTAGCTGCCTTCCCTCTAGTCTTTCACTGCTAAATTAGGGAATGCTAGCGCAGATAGCCCTCGTGTAAGCTTTGCGCGAATTTCCAAACAAAATCTTATAGCTCAAAAATGATCGTAAACTTGTATGAACACAAATATCCCCAAAAGCCCGTTATTATTACTTCAAATTGTTAACATACATTATACCAGCATAACAATAAAATGAATTTTTTTTTATTAAACACGAATTTTAAACATTTTTATTGGTTGTTGAAGTTTCTTCGTCATGGAATTACAGATTACAGAATTACATTAGTTTTGAAAGTCTGGTACGAAAATATGTTTCTTTCCGCACTTATTAAATTGTTACAAACCATTACTTAAGCTTTTTTTTCCAATTTTAAACCTTTTATTTTGTACTTATCATTCTTTCACCTTCCTAAAAAACATGAATTTTAGGATCAAAGCGAGCCGCTATTTTGAAATGGTTCATTTTGCTACGAATTACAGAAAAACTGACCAATCCGCTTAGATTGGGGTTCACATTATTATGGTTCGGCGAGTTTCGTGGTGCAACGGTCTGTTTTGAAGATATGTTTTTGTTGGCAGACTTCTGGAATTTACGTGCATCAAAATTTTTGGCGGCTCCTTTTACCTTTTTTTTTTCATTTCTTATCAAAAGCTTTCTGTATTTAACTTTTTTGTCAGATGTAGAGTCTGATTATCATCGTCTACATGGATAAATTCACCCTCATTTTGTAATTTAGCTGTTTGTCGGTGCGTCATTTGGTCACTAATGACAAATGATTAGCCATGTTCTAATTGAACTTTACTTGAAGAGATGTTATATATTTACATTAGATGCTTAAACAATAATCTCTTATTAACATTCTTCAGTTTGATCGACTAAAAAAGTGATGTTTCAACAGCACATTTGTGTTTGAAATAATTCGCGTTAAGACAAAAAAAAAGTATTGTTATTTGATGTTTCTGAACCAAAACAGTAGAACGTATATCTTAAGATTGCCCTCACCATGTCAGTGTCATGTGGCTGTAGTAATATTAGTGGAGACAAATCTTTTCAAAGTTTTATTTTATCGCAAAGCTGCTCAGCGGATGACCTGCTTTTGTGCCAATAACAGGGATCAAACCTCGAATTTTGCGCTATACGGCCTCGAGCTTACCGCTGAGTCATCAGGAGGACATTTTTGAAGGAACTCTTATTCGATATTGAAAATACACCAGTGAATTCTAATACAAACGTTTTGGTATTTTATTCTTACCCTTGTTATAATTTTCACCAAATCGAATTTTCAATACTGTACATCAATGTGATACACATTCCTTGAAAATACACACAAAACATTTTCTTATAGTCCTATCTTTTGTACTTACAATTTGATAAAAATGTATATATTAGTGTAGCTTAATTTTTGCGTTAATTACCCATTTTTCTGCCGAACTTTCAACATTAGCTATTCATAATCCAACATTCCAATACCAATTGTCGAAAAACAGTTTTTAAAGATTCTGTTAATGGCGGGTTGCGGGTTCGAATCCCCGTCACGCCAAACATGCTTGCTCTTTCAGCCGTGGGGGGCGTTATATAGTGACGGTCAATCCCACTATTCGTTGGTAAAAGAGTAGCCTAAGAGTTGGCGGTGGGTGGTGATGACTAGCTGCCTTCCCTCTAGACTTATACTGCTAAATTAGGGACGGCTAGCGCAGATAGCCGTCGTGTAGCTTTGCGCAAAATTCAAAACAAACAAACTGTTAATGGCAACTTAAGATCCACTTCCGAAAAGATTCGACCCTCGTGAAATGTGCTCACACCTGTTAACACTTCAAAAGCGATTTATCTAATGAAAAAAAGTTACGTAATTATCTTTATCAACTATATTTTATCGTTCAGTTGTTGCTTTCTAGTAACTACTCAAAAGATGTCAAGCTGACGGAAACGTTTTATCGTTTGTGAAGTAAATTATTAGGCACAATGTTTTACTTATAATTTTTTTTTTCCAATGACAGGAACGTAATTACAATTGCATTTGTACTTTGATATTTCAGAGGTCTCGTAGAGTACTGATATGGCTATTTCTAATTTGGAACTGCTAATCAGAAGGTAGGCAAGCAACAGCATCCGTCGACTATGAATCTCATCTGTTCTTAACCGAATACCAATATCGACCTCTCACGTTTAAAGTAACCATTGCTGAAAGTGTTGAGCGTGTTCAGCAATAGTACCTTGGGCTTTTGAGATCCGGAGCCCGACACTCTACCACTGGGCCACACCCAGTCCCGTTTTAAAATTCACGTTAGCATTTTATATGTATGTTTTCTGGATCTAGTAGATAATAAAACTGTTCATAGAGTGACATGTTAAACGTTGAATCAACAATAGAAATTGAATGTAACGTGAAACTGCAAAGTTTTAAAATGTAGTTAATGTGTGCCAGTAAACGAGGCACGCACATGTTGTTCCACTTTTCAGAAACGGAATATGATAACATTATGAAAACAGCAACAATAACAAGTGTTAACAAATACTATTAAAGATAGAGTGCCACCCTACAAAATATTAAAACGTGAAAAATTGCTCTTGCGCAGTGTATGCTTAAAATGTGATATTAACCCGAATGCCAGAAATTCAACAAAAACAGGAAGATGTTGAATAGGTGGATATCTTTTTTGTTAAAAGTAATTAACCTATACAACTAATTAGGAAACTTGTATTCTATTTCTACAATGATTAATCGTGATAATCCAGATCTTTGTCCAGTCTGCAGAACTTCTTACTTCAAGTGTTAGAGTCTAATACAAACATCTTCTCTACATTCTTTACGTCAGTCTCCCAGTATCCAACTATATCACATTCAAATTTCACAACATTGAGGCTGTATACCAAACAACAATATACTAAACTTGGCAATTGTACGCAAAATCCAGAACTGTTTTTAAGCATAACGAAAATGTATTACACTTTAATCGTATTCCAATAATGTAAAATATACAAAAACCATCATAACAGATCGAAATAAACCATTAATGAACTTTCTAGGTAACTGAAAAATCCAAATAGTTACATGAAAGTCAAACAGTATGGAAAAGAATAAGAAATGGTAAAAGGTTAATATATAAGGCGAATTGATGGTTAAACACACATAAAGCAGTTTGAATAAAAAGTTTACACTATTAATTTGTGTATATAGAATGTAATAAATGTGTAAGTGGTGTAATTAAGGTCTGAATTCAAGTGACAAAAACTGGTAAACAAATGCAGCTCAGTATACTCCACACATCAAAACAGGTTACGTTAAGTCACTGGCGTATCTACAAGACTAGGTCAATTTCGAGTGGCTTATGGATGAGATTAATTCATGTCTTCAAAATAGCTGCCTTCAATGCGCGCAGCCATGTTCAGTTACGGCTGATTTCCCAATGGCGACCTCTTATTTTTTAATTCAAGTGATAACAACTTTTCTGATTTATTCCACGTAAATACACAAATCTAAAACTGTTGAAGAAGTTTAGTTCAGAGCCAAACTGCCATGTTAAGGCATCACCTTTCAGTATGATCATATAGCTCTTGTTTTGTGCCACTTCACTCCAAAAGTTGGGATATTTTTGGGAGAAAGTAACCAGAAAAAATACTGGAATAACGAATGACCATGCTGTGAGAATTACGGGGCTTTCGACCCCAAACCTAAACTGTACGAGACTTTTGCTCGTATCAGGTGTATTGAGATCCACTCATACTCACAATTCCTTTCTAGCACATTATGCAAGAAATGTGGAAAAATTTCTTTCAACATACAGGTTTCTCTTTTGACCTAGCGGGTTAGTTAGCGGTAAGTTTACGGAATTACAACACTAAAGTCCGGGGTTCGATTCCCTGTGGTGGACAGAGCGTAGACACCCGATTGTGTAGCCTTGTGCTTGACTAAAAACCTGTTCCAGTGTGATTAAAATAACCATAGACATTAAGAAAGAAAAAAAAAACGGATGAGTGAGATTGTAGGTAGACTTTGAGAGCTTAAGGTGATTTTAGATGTATGTATTTTGAATTAGTTTGGTTTTAGGTGCTTCAGTTGGTTGGTGTCACAGTTGTTATATGAAGTTCTAGCGTCAATGATTTGATTAAAAATGAGTAAAAATCTGCATGAAGGCGTTCAGTGTAAATGTGCAGAAAACGTAGACTGCGCGGTTCTAAATGAATCTGAAATAAAAGTTATATTTCAAAACATGATAGTTTTAAAATCTGGGTCAGTATTAAGTGTCACACGT